GAGTTACAATTAGACGATACGAGGTAAAAAACCAAGAGGTGTACACGTTCACAAGAAAACGGTAAACTCTGACCTTTTATCACGTGACCAATGTCTTGAACTTAGACGCCATTAAAGCGTTTGCCGTTCAACTGCAAGTCCTATAATAATGTCATGCAGCACCATGATAAACAAAATGTCGAGCGTGATAATCGTATCATGCACCCTCAGTAATCGATAAATCAAATGTCAATTTTGATATTAATGTCATACAGTCTCAGTGCTCGATAAACAAATTGTCGAGTATGATAATAATGTCATGCACCTTCAGCGCTTAATCAAACAAATGTTGAGTCTTATTATAATGTCATGCAGCCTTGAAGTGTTCGATAGACAAAATGTCGATTGTAATAATAATGTCATGCACCTTCAGCACTCGATCAAATAAATGTCGATTCCGGTAATAATGTCATGCACCGCGTGTCGAGTGCAGGCGCGTAGCTACGTTAACGTCAAAACGCCCGGGCGTACACATGAATTTTGGAGAAAAAATATTTTAATCTAAATAAATTAAAAGATCTGGCTAAAAGCACATGAGCCTTGTAGTTCTTTCTACACTTACTTGTAATTGAAGATAACAGTCGGACGAAATTTACTTTTTAATCAAATGGAATCATATTATTTATTTGTTCGTTTTCTGTCAATATCTGAATCTACTGTGAATTATCCTCCCTTTCCTATAGTTTAAAGTTAACCATATGCTGAGATACGATATGCGGTTTTGTCGAGCCTGCGAGACATAGCGATCCTAGATTCCGTAATCGGCGTTGGCGTCGTCAATATTTATGTCCAGCCTGTGGTTAAAGGAGAAGGTCCAGTAAGGGTTTATTTTGGCCTAAAATTTGAAGTACATCGGATGCATTATTTTTTACATTTTCTAAACACTGAAGTGTTTTCTTCAGTCGATTGAATTAATTTATGTACTAAGAGATTTGGACTGATTTGGTCACTAAAGACGCCTAAATTCAAGCTTTAATATGAACAATCTATCAGTGTAATGCCAAAAACAGCCCATATGTATATAACAAAAGTATTCTTCTTTCAAATAAATAGCTAAAAGTTTACATTTTTAACAAATTTTTGAAATGCTATATTCTGGGGCCAAAAAGGGGTCTTACCGGGCCTACTCCTTTTTTTAAAACATCAATAAATTTGTCAAACCTTCATGAAATTTTACAGAATATAGGCAGAAACTTTTTTATGATCAAAAGAGTATACAGAGCATAATTATAAAGATTTACTTTAATTTTTTCCGCATTTTACTGAAAAGAACATTGTTTTTATTAGTTAACAAGTATAGATACCGTTTTTTACGCATGAATTACTTTGTCAAAACTTCATCGAATTTTATGTAAAAATGGTAACACCAACTCTACCATTTTTTTTTTTTGCACCACATGCGCATTTCGACAATTAATGTCTCATCAGTGATGCTCGAGGTCGAAATATTTGAAAATCCAAAACCTAATAAAAACATTTGAAGAGCTGATCAAAATAAAACGTACCTAAAGTATAGCCAATTCCGGACAAAGAATCAGAGCTTTGGTGGGGGAGATATATTCCTTTATTTTTAAATGATTTCAAGACTTTTATAACAGTCAGCAAATTTCAGTCTAAAATTTTTTTTTTTTTTTTTCATTTTTCAGTATTTTACCAATTTTTTTGGGGTAATTAACAGACGGTCTTGGATTAAATATTTTTTCACCTGCTACATTTGTAAACTTTCATAGATTGTTATGAAACTTGGACAGAAGCTTATCTTCCAAGATCAAGAAAAAACATTTAAAGAAAAGTTTGATTTCTTTTAAATCCTGTATTTGACTGATAAATAGATTCACTTTTTACAGTTTAATCGACAGCAGCAATCCAAGGCGAGACACAGGATTCCACGGAACCCTTTGAGTATGTTCATATCACACCGGACCATCTATGAAAATTTATTATTGCATGTACTTTTGTCCATTAACGAAATTTGCGCATAAACTGGGAGAAAACTAGATTAAATCATAATTATCAAAAGAACGACACCATTGAAAATGTAGACTTGCTTTTTTTTATATTTCGAAAGGTTTTGATCTTTGGTCGATTGATTGTTTTACCCCACATCTCCTTTTAAACATATTTCATAGTAACAACTATTGGCCATTAGATTCCAAATCAACACAATGAATAAATTATACATGAAAAAATCAAGAAATTAGACTCTAAAATATGTTGCTACTGATGAGTTTTAATGACAGAAATGGTATCTCTCTCTCGATAAATCGTTAGCTTCCGTCGGACCCCTGCTGAGAGGTCCCTTGCCCTGAACCCGCTGGGGACCCTCAAACCCCTCGCCGAGGTTCGGGCGTACACTTGAAAATGGCTTAGCTACGCCACTGGAGTGTGATAATAATGTCATGCAGCCTCTGTGATTAATAAAACCGATTAAATACTATCTCTCTTCTAATTTTGCAATTCCTACAGGCCTGAAATTCGGTCTGTTTTTGGCATTTTGTCGATATGAAAATTATTTGTTTTTCCCCTGCAATAATCCTCACCCTGAAGTTTTGTTTTGGTTAATTATCTTAATAATATATTAACGGATGTTTAGAAGTTCGATGGCTGGATTGACGATATATGCTTGTATCGCTCAATATGACAGCAAACATTCTTCGTTTATATGAATAAAGCATTATATTAATGTAAACAACAACATCTTTGCCTTAGACAAGTAAACGGTTTCTTGTGACAATTTAGAGCTTGAAGTAGTATACATAGATGTCAAATGTTGATGACTCTATGTTGCCTTCTTGATGTGCTTCCTTCGTCGTAAGGTTGCTGTCTCTGTGACGTAAAACCCACATCTTCCTTTTATCACCCCAAATACCTTCAATTTTAAGCATATCTATGCAATCTTAGTAACCATTATACAATTATAGCCTTTGTAGGAGGTCGATACAAGGATATATCGACCTGAAAGAAGTATATTGACTGAGGACGAAGTCCGAGGTCGATATACTTCTTTGGGTCGATATATCCTGTATTGACCTCATAAATAGGCTATAATTGTTATATTATTAATTTCCGACCATATTTGTATCAAAATCGTCATTTGATTTTGTTGTAATTTTATAGATATCATATTGTCTCCTAGACAATAACAACAGATTAGTTGTTATTTCATTTACTTTTTTTTATGTTTTTTTTTCACATGTTATGTATTTGAAGATTTTTTTTCTTCAAATAATCGATCATAGATATTTTTTTATAAAACTTTTAACAATATCATGAAATTCATTACATGACGTCACAAAGTATATCGGTTTTTAGATATTCTAAATATAACCGTGTAATATGCTTTTTGCTATCCGCCGTTTTCTCTCTACCTTCGAAAATATTGTTTAACATGTGACTATCCCTGAACGAATCAAGTTAGTGATAAAATTGATGTGTAAAACAAGGTCAAATTTAAATGCCCAGTTTCAAGTAATTTTTTTTTATGCTGAAACGATACTCAAACCATGATACATACGTGTATTATTTATGTACAACCGGAATATTTTTAATTCAAACGCCAATATTCATGTATTCGGAAAGACAGTGTATTCGTTCTAATAATATATAAACTTCAATACCACGAAAATGTAAATAATCCTACTAACAAAATAAAAATAATTTTGGAAACTAAGTATCATTATATTTCTACAGGCTTCCATGCTCGGCATCCAGCATGTTCACTGCCTTGTACATTGTCTGCTTGTCTTGTTCATTGTTTGCTGCAATATATAGTTTCTGTTATATAGCGTTATCAATATGCCCAGGGGTAAAATATATATATAAATAAATAGAACTGTCATTACGTACATTATTATTCCATTTAATTGGTTTTTTTTTTGTCATTTTTTTCTCTAATGTAAAATACACTGTGCATTACTCCTTACGACAAAAATAGACATTTGCAGATTTTAAGCGATGAACTGTATGGACGAGCTATAATCCTCAACATGTACTTGTGTTAAGTGTTATTATATTGTATATTTTATTTACAGAAATAAGTGGTTGTGTTGTTATTGTCGATTCGAGAGGTTTGTGATTAATTTCAATATTGACGAATCAATTTCATATAATCAAATGAGGATATGACAGCCATTACTAATCTCAAATAAACTGCGACAATCACTACACTCAATATTTTCTTGATCTAGGACATGTCCATTGAAATGTTAAAAACATATTTTTTTAATAACCAGACCCTCTTACATGTATTATCTTCATCAACTGAAGGAAACAACAGATCAATAAAAGAAAAAAAAAACATTATAAATACAATATACATTGAACATAGTAATACAGGTATTTAAAAAAAAAAGTAAAGCAGTAAAGTAACAAAATATCATACATCATTAAGTATTGTCTTAAAGATATCTCAGATCTGAATAAATTGAAATGGAATGTAAGTCACCCGACCACAAAATTTCCAAAGGAGTACTTTATCTCTTGAAAAATAAACACAAAAATTTAGATGTAATAAGATAGCAAAGAGACAACTATCCAGCAGGCCACAATAAGGCATTCGACAATGAACAAAACTCTGTCTCGGTTGCGAAAAAAAAATTAGGATAAGCTCGAAGTGCCAAGATACTTCTTCTTTTACCGCAAATAACGACAATTGATTATTCTAATTGACGGAATACTTATATTAGAGGCGACCATTCTATAAATCGAGGAATTAACTTTAGTCAAGCATTAGATATACGATGGGCTACCAATTTCAATGCGTTATTATTTCCCTAAGTATTTTTGCGGTAATGTATTTCTTATTTTGATAAAGTTGGTGATTGTTATGTGAATTTCATATTTAAAAATAGTCCTTCGTTTTAATCTGGGACATAATATATTGACTATACTATTCACGGGTTTTGATTAATAAGAGTATCTTAATTTATTATTTATTCTTGCTTCTTTATTTACCTTTTCAGTCATTGATTTCCATGGAGTTTACACAGTTGGTGTCTATATGTATACTGACGCTCGTAACAGTAAGCTCCCCTAGAAGAATTCGGAATCGCAAAGGATTGAGAGATAAATTTACAGACAGTAATCAAGGGACATGCGAGCTGGAAATTTCATGCAAAGGAAATGTGCACTCCCCTGTCCGTCTACCAATCAAAGGCCCTCGAGGTCCACCCGGAGTTCCCGGTGAAAAAGGATCCAATGGTTTGCCTGGTAACCCGGGGGTACCTGGAAAGCCAGGTTTGTCTCATTTTATTTTTGTATCTTTTATAATGTGTAATAATTCTTCCATATAGCTATTATCTTGCAATTCAAATATGAGTTCAGCTAACAAATATCTCGGTGGTGTGTACATGTTGATTATGGTAGTTTTCGCTGCAAAGATTAATACAAGGGGAATAACACGTGTATACCTAAGTAAAACTTGAAAATAATTTTAGATTTACCTCCCATACATCGCTACAAAGTCACAATTTGCCGTAAAAGTATATTTCACCCAAACTGATCCAAAAGAGGTTGTAGTATGTTGCGTTATAAAATATCAATTTTCTTTTCAGGTAAGTCTGCATCTCGTTCACAAAAAGTATCTTTCTTCGTCGGACTGAGCAAAAACCATGGTCCTAAAAAGACCAGTGAAGAACTTAAATATGACAGAGTTATAACAAATGATGGACTTGCGTACGATATTATGACTGGACGTTTTACAGCGCCAGTGAATGGGACTTACCATTTCACGGTTGTCGTTGCAGCACAAGGAAGGCATAAGGTACATGGTCAAAGGGATATACTTAATCGTCATTCGAAGAGTTAATGCTCTTGAAGTACATAATGGTTAATTTATTTCGCATCTAGATCTTTTTATTGTGTGAAATTGTCACCTGTTATTCCATGACCCCATATTCTATTATTACTATTATCAAAAGACCACCAAGCAAATCAATTGATTTGGTGTGTGTTTTTTAAAATTTTTGTTTTGTATGATTGGTGGTTCCGATATTCCTTAACTAGATGCTTTGACATCAAATCTGCAGTACTACTAACATATATTTTATTTGAACTTTCACATTAACAGATCAAAAAGAGATTTATTTAACTAAAACACAATTGAAAAAAAATCCAGGGTCGACTAAAGGCTCAGGAAGGGTGAATCGTTCCTCTTTCAAGAGCCCGTCATGTCGCACACGACATTTACAAACCCGACGATAAGTCGTATTCGGGGAAAAGACATGAACGTTCGAAGTAGGGCATACTAATGACTACGACAAAAATATTTCTAGTAAGCAATCAACCAAGTCACGATGATGACCGTAAAAGTTTGGAAGCAATTAATTCCAATTTCTCAAAGGAAACCTTTGTTTGGAAGCTCTCTTGTAAACAACAAACTTCTATAAAGGATATCACGAAGAAAGACGCAAGTTTTTACAACCTGTAAATATGGTGTCGGTCAGAGATATATACCCCTTCTGCAGGCGGAATGTTGCTACATAGTAATTGAATGTTTACGATGGGGAAATCTTTGTTTATTTAATTAACAGTAATAGACGTTTTTTATATCTAACATTTTTTATAATTTTATAATAAAGGATTTGAAATTCCACAATTTCAGGCTGCTGTAATGCTGATGGCCGAAGGTCATATGATCATTACAGTTTGGGCGGACAGTCGACCGATATGGGCAACAGCATCAAACACCGCAATACTCCATCTCTACCAAGGGCAGCAAGTTTGGCAAGTCCTACAAAAGGCGTCAGCTCTCAGTGGTTATATGTATTCGAGTTTCTCTGGTTTTATCTTGTATCAAGACGACAATGATTAAACTTCTAAATTTATTGATCGATGAAGATATAGTTTTCAATCCAAATGACCTAAATTTTAGTTTAAATTTGGTATTTAAAAACATCGTTATAGCAATTGTACTGAAAAATCCTAAATATGCAAAGAAGGGATAATGTAGAATTTTTTAAATGATTTTTGCAAATTATAGTCAAGACAAGTTTGTGTAAGTTCTGCACTGTGTCTACATAAATATGTTGTGGTTCATGTTGACTTGTTTTTATAAAGTCTTTTGCCTCATAAAGGTATTGAACCAAAGGAATGGATGAAAGAACCAGGAACACATGTTTTTGAACAGGCATCTTAAGCAAGAAAACACACTATCTTTATATGTAAGTTAACATACATACATATGCATATCTGCAGCAGTCTATGTTTTAATTACTTAGCCTTCGTTAACTTTGAAATTTTAAAATTATAATAGTTCAAATCACACAGTGCTATTCATTTAGAGGCATATATGCAAGAACGCAGTCTCTGTTGTAAATACCTGCGTCAATTTTGAAATTTTAGAATTATACAGGTTTAAATCGCACAATGCTATTCATTTTGGATGCATATCTACGCAGTATCTGTTGTAATCGTTAACTTTGAAATTTTAGAATAATACAAATTCAAATCGCACAGTGCTATTTATTTTTGATGAATAAGTACGTAGTCTCGGTTGTAAATATTCTACTGCGTCAACTTTGAAATTTTAGAATTATACAGTTTCAAATTGCGCGATACTATGCATTCTGGATGCATATATACACGGCATTCTCTGTTGTAAATACTCAACCTGTGCAAACTTGAAATTTTCGAATTATACAAGCGTGGTTCAGTTTTTTAATATAATGTGTATTACGTTCAAGATTGTTTAAGTAAAATCAAAATAGATTGATATGATTCATTTTACATCATACTGGTGAATGATATATATATTATCCGAAATATTTATTGATACTTATATTTACTATTTCCTTTTTTAAACATTCCTGTTGTTCTGTACACTTGATATATATACATATTATTTATGTATTGTGCACAGTATCGTTTTCATAACGACCAACCCCCTCGTAAGAAATATGATATATCAAGATTGATTGATTTATTGTTGATTGCTTAAAGTACAGTGGCAAAAATTTCATGTATGTTCAGGACGAGAACAAATTAACAATGCATATAATAGGTAGGTTCTGTTATAGGGTTCAACCGGGATGAAGGGCGGGAAATTTGGACTGCGTCTAGAAAATGAGGGTAAGTTTGATAGAAAAATGTATTAAAACTTGCAACAGGCTACCTACGGACCCCTCAAAGAGTTGTCACAAAGAGTTCTTAACGTGCAGAGAGCGTAGCACTCTCTCTACACGAGGCATCAGAATTAACGTCCCCCATTGTTCATACATCTTTGAATATAATAATACTATACTATAGCTAATACTATGGTGAATTCTATATTCATCTTTTGTTTCCGTGTGCGTGTATTTGAGGTTGTTATTGACAATTATCTCTCATCTTGTATTTATATTACATCATTTGTACATTGGTTGGAAGATATCGATATTGCGGAAAAAAGGAAAAACGAAAAGAAAAATGATTTATATTTTTAAATGACACGAAAACAAATAATTGTGAACATAATCCCAATTGGAAGGTTCCAGTGACATTAATTTCTCACAAAGATTTTCTTTCTGTTTAGTTAATCAATTCCTTATAAATTAAAATGTAATACTGCATTACATCATATAAAAACTTATAGTGCTACAATTAATCTAAATCAAGTCATGTTGCTGGAACAAGTCTTCCGACTGGATATAGATTCGAGACTGAACGCATGTCATTTATCACAGTTCTCAAAGCAATAAACCTATAAAGTGTCATGAAACAAACGGTTTTTCGGTCAAAGTTGAGATGAAAAGTTTGATGTTTGATTTCCTTATCGTTGTTACCTAGGTGAAACGAACCCGAGGCTTACTATATGTCTCTGGATGGATGGATAGATGGCTGTTTAAAGTTAAGGGGGCAAATCCAATCCTGATCCAGGACGTGACCCTGCTTTTCACTAGACCGACACGATGAGCCGGATTTTAAAGTGCTAGTTCACAATGTAACAGTCCGCAGGAAGACATGCCCCTTACACGGACACATAGTTCTGACTCCGAGCCTACTAGTTTTTACTTAGAAATACCGCTTACTTAGCGGAGAGGAAGCAAATACCAATTTCAAGTCTTTGGTTTGGGCTTGAATTCACAACCTCCCACCTGGAGGCGAGCACGCTAACACGAGACCAACTAGGTAATCCATGTCTCTAAAACGTTCGATACTGGACTTTCAAATTTTCTGGTTATGATAATAAAAAAAAGGTTTGAGGGTCTTATTGCCGTGTGATTTTGATATTATACCCCGCAGTTAAATTAAGTTCAGTTTTATATTCATGAAATTGTACTTAACCTTCTCATAGATGTGTTATTACCATGTCGTGTTAGTCTCTGTATCAATAGGTTCTTTGACATCAGTTATGCAGTCAGAAAGAATTCTAAAAGAGCTTGAACGCTTTAAATATATCATATTTGCTATTGGTGACTCTTTTCCCTTTTTGAATTTACAGTGGAGTTCGGTATTTTTCTTAATACTTGAATACCAAGGTTCCACTATGCGTGATTTAAATATTTTAGAAATCATGAACAATTGAAATGTGATTATTGTGATCTTCCATTGTACAATTATAGGTAAGTTTTTCTCAACAATTGAAATAGTATTTTATGGTGTAAGGCAAACATCGTGTGAGAATCTTTACCAACGTTCAATAAAGTTAGATGTCCGAAATTGATAAAAGGAGATGTAGATTGTTTGTCAATGAGATAACAATTCAGGTGGTACGGGAGTCATCCACCATCTTGGATTTTAAAATAGCAGAACTTACTAGGCCTAGATTTGATTAAAATATATACACTACATTTTGGCAAAGTATGAAAAAAAATCTATCTTTTTTGTTTATACTACCTTAATTGTCCAAAATCTATAGACAAACTGAATATAAATTCAACACCAACAACAAAAATACTGATCAAATATTTGGTCCAAATTTCAGTTGACACAAAAAAAAAAGAAGAAAGAAAAGACAATGATATCGTTCCACTAACATCGTTAACTTGGGAGACATAAACGTGACAAAGGAAAGCAAATTTTGTCTTTATTCAAAGTCTCGATGAATCACTACTGCTTTTAAATAACATGCATGAGGGTTTAAGGCGTATAGTCTCAAAGATCGTTTCCGACCTCGTAATCAGGCACAATTCTAACTCTATAAATGATGTAATTGTACTAAAAAGAGCTAAGACAGTGTTGACCTTAGACGATATTGGTTGTGTGTTCTGCAAAGGCATTTATAGTTTAGATACTCTAATGTTTTGTTGTTTGTCTTTTTGTTTTGGTCGTGGTTTTGTCTTTTTGTTTTGGTCGTGGTTTTTGTCTTGTTGTTTTGGTCGTGGTTTTGTCTTTTTGTTTTGGTCGTGGTTTTGTCTTGTTGTTTTGGTCGTGGTTTTGTCTTGTTGTTTTGGTCGTGGTTTTGTCTTTTTGTTTTGGTCGTGGTTTTGTCTTGTTGTTTTGGTCGTGGTTTCTTGTTGTTTTGGTCGTGGTTTTGTCTTTTTGTTTTGGTCGTGGTTTTGTCTTTTTTTTTGGTCGTGGTTTTGTCTGCCTCCTCTGGTAAGTTCTCCATTATATGTATTTCACTTCCCAAATTCTTCGTCAGATCAGTCAGGAACATATATATTAGATATACTGTTCCCAGGATCAGTATACTTGATGCATTTTTTTTCATCTTCGTCAGATCAGTATTCTTGATGTATTTTTTTCAAAATTTAATAATACCGGACACACTGGCGTTTTGTTTTACAAATACATTTTATATTTGAAACTGAATACTGTTGGACCAAATGGAAATTAATGCCTAAATAGTCAGGTAATGTTGAATGTTAGCTCCATACATTAGAAAATAACACATTGAACTAAATGTCACCATATCTTCGTGGCAAACTGTTGTACCAAGTTTAATAAAGACTGAACGAATGGAGCTCGAATATTTTTTCAGCATATTAATGTTACCAGGACGTAATGAAACTTGAAGCTCTCTATGTTATATCAATTTCAACGGTGATGTTATTTTCATCACTCTTTTTAAGATCTCTCGTCACGTGATATGAAGTATTTATAATTTCTTGTCAGTTACCACGTCATACTGAAATTCTATTGATTGATAGGCTAATTAGTAATGCTTACGTATATAATATATGCAGACGAAAAGCCATCTTTTCGATTTTACGTCAAGAAACAGGATATCCCACTTATTCAAAGTACACACGTACTATATACTTATATACTATATATTATATTTATGTTCCATCAAGTGATTCAACGTTTTGATAAATTTGTTTTTGTCAATTAGCATATAGACTTGAAAGCAACCACATCAAACTTTCAATAAAAGTACCAAGAATATTTTATGATAAGTACATATGTACGTGTTCAGGGGGCGGATCCAGGATTTTAGGAAAGGGGGCGAAGAGTAAAATTTTGGCCGAGCGGAGCGAGGTAGAATTATCGAAATATTCTTTATTAAGCTGAGGACAACCCATATTTTGCAAATTTTAGGGGGGCGCACGCCCGCCACGGCCCCGTCTGAATCCGCCCCTGAGTGTTTATTCGTTGTTTACATAACGTGACTGCGACTGGCGCCTATACAACCGCTACAAAGGACCTAATGTCCTGCACATACTTAAGTTCATATATTTTGGTGGCAAATACTATTTTGTTTATGGACACAAGCATTTGAAATCGTTCTCATTCCTTATTTCTTTTTTGTGTCATTTATTTTATGTACATTGCCTGGAAATAGCATGTTTGTGCTGCTTGGGGGAACGTCAACAATCAATCAATTCATCTATCATTTCTAAAGAAAACATAAAAAGATTTTTAATTGAAAAGAGGAATTCCAACCTTGTAAAGTTCTTTTTTTGAATAACATAACCGTGTTACCATCTTTGTTCTTATGTTGTGCTGTTATACCACTGTCCCAGGTTAGGAGATTGGTTGTCATTTGTTTCTGTATATCATATTTGTTTTTCGTTTATTGTTTTGTTCATAAATGAGTCCGTTTGTTTGCATTGTTATACATTTGTCATTTCGGATATGCTATCCGGTATTGGTTCATTGTTGAAGACCCTACGATGACTTATAGCTGAAAACATTCTGCGTCCTTTAGTCTCTAATAGAGAATTGTCTCA